GTGACCTGAGATGACATGATGTGAATTGGAGCTATAGAAATAAACTGAATAGAACTTCAGTCAGAAGGTGCAAAGGTATCAGCAGGGATGCAGTTATGAACCGATTGGCTGATGGAGGGATGCTGATAAATGACTAGAAATGAATGATCCTCGATGCTAAGCTAACTCTGAGGCAGGTGCTAGTGACCTAGAGACTCATTGTTCTCCACTAGCGGATTTTCTTACCATCTTCTGGGAGCAGAACTAAACTTCCTGCAGCTACAGAACCAGCAGAGATTCTTTGGACCTTTAGAATAACTTGAGCTGAAAATGTTAAGAACCAATTAATGTCAGGGTTTGGTTGAGGCTGTGAGGCAGAGCAGAGTTCTTTTAGTTTTAATGGAGTTCTCAACAGGTAACAGAGGCAGGAATTCATGACCGTGGAGACATCAGGAAAACAAGCATGAGGAGCCGAGGAGAGATGAGGAAGCAGCACTGATGAACGGCACAGGGAGAGTTTACATGGGGGACTGAACAAAGACAGGACTTCTGAGCTGATCGGGAGCAGGTGTGAAGAGAGGATTCTAGAAGGACCTGGAGAAAACGACACCAACACTAGAGGGCAGCAAAGGGCAGCAAAGAACAATCTAAGAACTCAAATACATCCAGAAAACACAACAAAATAGGAATTAAACCAATAAAAGTAGAAAACATGGAGCAAAGTGAAACTGAATACTCAAAGGAAAACAGAACCAAGAACGTAACAATTAATAGTTTTGATCTTAACAAATTAGGGCTTGAATACTTTTTCTGTTTGCTTGTTTTCATAGAATAATCCCATTAAAATGTGCTGACCAGAGAGACACTGATAATACCAGATCTATATCATGTAGATGCCTTTTCTCTTGTTATATATATATAGATCTGAGAAGTGAGCTACTCAGGAGCCGTGGTGGAGCTTAAACCCAGTATCAACAGACTAACAGTAGAGATGGAGGCCGAGGCCCAGGGAGCATCAGGGCCGCCATCGAAGATCAGAGCTCCAAGAATACATCAGGAAGACGATGCAGGAGATGAAGCCATCAGTGAATGAATGAAGCAACTGGAGGAACTGGATTAACTGGATGAACTGGAGGAACTGGATGAAGCACCAGCAGAGCGCTGAGGACGCTGATAGGATCTAATCCTACCGATGGAGAGAGAAGCTCTGATCATAGCAGATCTAGAATAGAAGGCAGGATCCCAGGTCAGGCTGTGCTCAGAGGCTCCAGCCTTTATAGAAATGACTTCTTCATTTTTTATGATAATGATGTTTTTATCTTTAGAATAAAATGTGTCAATCATTATGAAACCTAGAAATGTAAATTAAATCAATTATTAAATGTTCATACGTGGCTCTAAATGTTTGTTTTTAGCTGGATTGAGGCTGAAACTCTTCCTGGGACGAGTTTCCCAGTCAGGGACAATAAAGGAGATCTGATTCTATTCTGTGTTGATCTGTAAAGGTTGCAGCTCCATCCGTTCAGTGGAATTATGTTTCTGCATCATGCAGGTCTTAGCAATAGAAGACATAGAATGAGCTAACCTGCTGGTCTCTGTCCTTCTCCTCTCCAGCTCACTGCACCAAGGAATGCGTCCACGGTCGCTGCGTCGCTCCAAACCGCTGCCAGTGTGAGAAAGGATGGCGAGGAGACGACTGCTCCAGCTGTAAGGAGCTGCTTTTCTCTCCAACTTCTTCATTTATTCATTTTTATTTACTACTAAAACATAGAATGTAGAGCAAAGATGAGCAGATTCTAGATGCCATGACAGCCAAGGTTTTTCCAGCAAAGGGAGCCTGACGCCACGCAGCAACAGCTCACCAAGCTCTCTGTGCAGGAAGCACTTTAAGGCCTCTTTAATTCACGGTTCTGCTGAAAACAAACTGAAATAAACTTGTTTTCATGACATTCTTCCCTCTTAGAGGATGAAACGTTAGCAGAGCGGTTATATAACCACGTCTCAGTCATTCTGAACCCAGAGAGCCGACCCAGAGCAGGATGGAAACCAACTTTCCACTACCTCTTCTCCTCTGTCAGCTGGGTCAATAGTACACAGCACCCCCCCCCCCTCGTTATTTGGCTAAAGTCTCAAATTAGCTGCAGCGTGTAGCGGCCCCAACCCGGACAGGGGGAGGATGGGAAGGGAAATGGAAAAAGTGAAACCACTTTCCCTGCCTTCCAAACCTCCACTTAACGTCTCTTCCTTCTGATTTTCCATCTCTGCTTTGTTTTCTGTCCTCCTTTATTTTCTGTTCCGTTCTTCTGCAGTCGAGTCGTTTCTGATCCCAGGAAATGAAATGTTGCAGCAACTCATAGCTTTTTTATCCAGTTGTTATAGGTGTTGGCTAGCCTGCCAATTCAGCTCTATTCAGTTTATTTCTATAGCTCCAATTCACATCATTTCGTCTCACTTTATAGATCTAGATCAACCAGATCATCAGATCAGATTTGTTCAAAGTTTTTGAGGAAAACCAGCTGATTGCATCGACTCATTGACTCTTCAGCAATCCCTCACACTAAGCATGCTTGTAGCGACAGTGGAGAGGAAAAACTCCCTTTGAACAGGAAGAAACCTCCAGCAGAACCAGGCTCAGTGTGAGCGGCCATCTGCTGAGGCTGAAGATATAAACTAAAGATCATTTAGATGAACCCTGGTTGATTCTGGAGAACCTTAAACCAGATTAGCTCCTTATAAGGAGATTTCAGTCATTCTGGTTCATTTGATCTGAGTCTGTTTCCTCCTGCAGCTGCAGCCAATGGTCTGACTGACTGTTGGTTGATTAGTTTGGTTTATCTTACATTTCCGCTCCTCATCTTTGGTAAAACAAACACATCAAAGCTCTATTTTTTATTAACCTGGGAACGAACCAACATTTATCCCCATGATCAGCCCAGTTCAGATCAAATGAACTGATTAACACCCCCCCCCCACCATCACACAGGGAAGCTGAGATCCGTACTGATAACCAACTTCCGCTTCTTACTCACTCTTTCTACCGTAATAACAGTCTAAACACAACATTTCCCCTTCATTCATAAGACGGTAAAGTCTGGGAAATGTTCGAGGACAGGTTTAACCAGGGACGGGGGGTCCAGAACAGGGACTGTCCCTGGAAATCGGGGACGTCTGGTCACCGTAATGCAGAAGGCATGGACGCACTGTTCTCCAGCCCCCCCCCCCGACCTGCTTCTCTCTAAACATTGCCTCTACTTTCTCACTCTGACCTCCTTCAGCTGCACATTTTCTTGTTGCCCAGAGGATCAGACGTGACTCTTTACAAACAGCAGGAGGCGCCACCTCCACAATAAACACTGCAGCCCCTAGCTGATGGTCCCTCCAGCCCTAATTTGGTGCTCCTCCTCTCCTAGACAGATCATCCACAGAGCTCACTGGGACATGGGGGGCGGGAGTGGGGGGGGCTGCTTATACTGTTGAAAGTCGCTCACATAACAAAGGATTATTCAGTATGACATCAGAGGACTGGTTTACGTCTCCAAGCTCCATCAGTGTTACTGGAGATCATGTCTCCCCAGTAGAATCCTGAGCTGGAGTCACTGAGCAGAAATCTGAAGTTTGCAGCTCTGACCAATCCGATATTTTTCCTAAATTCAAAACTAATGTGAATCTCTGCAAGTAGACAAACTCACCCTCTGAATTCCTCAAAAAGTTAAAAATCAATACACTGGACTTTGTTTTGAAGTTTGAAGACATTTCTCTTCCCATCCAGGAAACTTTTTCAATAAAAAATGTCAAAAATAGCGTTGAGTTCCTGGCTATATAGAGTGGAGCAACAAGGTCTTGGCTTAGAAAACATGCTTAACGAGTCGGACGAACAGGTCCGTCCCTTTGGAATGGGGGTTGTTTGGTTCCTTTGTTTCTCATCCTGAGAATTTCTCCTCCACTCTGAGCTCCATGCAGACCTCATGCTCACTAGCTGGTAATCTGACACCTAAAATGGGAGAAGCAGAAACAAGGCGGCCAATAGAAAGCAGCTGATTCTGGTCTGACGTGAGGTCCTACACTCTGCAGCCTGCAGTCTGAATCTTTAATCGCAGTCAGAAACACCAAAGTCTACAGAAGTGAATGCTGGTATTTTAGCTCCATGCAGCAGAAACATCTTCTCAGCAAGTTCAGGCTCCATATCCACTGTCCTCCTTTTCTCTTCCAGCCTGTGATGAAAAACACTGGGGTCCAGAATGCAGCCAGGTGTGCAAATGTGAAAACGGAGCCCACTGTGATCCTGTGAAGGGGTCCTGTCAGTGTCCTCCCGGGTTCATTGGATCCTCCTGCGAGGACGCCTGTCCAGCTGGGACCTTTGGGAAGGGCTGTCTGCAGAGCTGCAGGTGTAAGAACGGAGGGTCCTGTGACAGAGCAACTGGAGAATGCACGTGTCCGCTCAGCTTCACCGGGACTTTGTAAGTTTACAGTAAGATCTACGAGTTTGTCTGGTCAAAGGTAAGTCCAAAAGTAACACACAATGGATTACAGATTATTTAGTAAGCAAAAGAAATGGCATTAGATTAGAAAAACTAGGTGGACCTAATTCCCCTAATTCAGAGCTCAGATCTCAGCTCAGATCTAAAGCTTGAATAACAGGTCGGATCAGAGCCTGAATCACAGTTTGGATCAAAGCCCAGAC